ATTTCTTTCCCCGAATATAGCGTCTTGAGCAGGTGCACTTATGAGTCCACAAAGTATGCAATAAACACATACATATGTACCTTGTACATAGGACCTTTCCACTGATGTCCATATGAATGGTATGTTATGAGTGGTGCGGCTTGAGTGGCAGTTTAAAAAATTGCTTTTTTCATACTTTGAGGCACCAGCCACGCCCACAAAGGCGTCCGCATAGTAACGTTCTAGAACAAAAACTTCTTAGTTTTTTTTTTTGTACTTTAATTCCATAAAGTTTGAAATTAATCATAAAAATACAAACAAAAATTTATTTCAACGAGCTCGATTTTCCTACCTTTGTTCACCTAAATTTTGTGATTCAGACCACTGTGCGGCCGTTGAGTTACGTTTAAGCGGCTGCTTAAACAACCTACTTTTAAAAGCTAATTTCAATTTTCTAGTCAAGGAATTGCATTTGAGCTAGCGAAGAAGCGTCGATATCTTTGTTTCTAGGGCTTAGAATTTATTATTTATGAAATACATTTGTACAAATACTATATGCCAATACATACATATATCTGCTTTAAATCTTAATGTGGTGCTACTGAAGTTTCGGAGTTTTCTTTTTTATATTTGTATGAATGCGTAAGGAACGACTTTTATCGTGGACGCATACATTTTGTGTTGCTGAAAGCACATTTCGTGCATATCGTTAAAAAAAAAATAAAAATATGTATACTAACTAATTGATTGACTTCAAAAAAAGGAGGAGGTTATCAATTCGTCGGAATATTTTTTTTTATTTTTTTATGTACATACGTTACCGCATTACTTTGTACCGAGTCAACCGATTGCAATAATTCTTTTTTTAAAGGAAAAGTATAACCTCAGAGGTGGTCCCATACTAACTTGGTTTAGATCCGAGCATTGGATCATGAAGAAATTAACGATAATTTTAAATTTTTATACGCGAATTGTGGTCCGTTCTTAATTAAATTTAATTTTTCAACTTTCAGTAACGTTCTGATGAAAAACTACCTGTCTTGGTTTATATACACAATGGTGGATTCTCTGTCGGCACTCCGAATCATGAATTTTATGGTCCTGACCCGTGCATATCATTTGGGTCCATTTGGTGAGTATTGGTATCTATTTACTTAGCGATCGATCATTCGCTGCGATTTGTTTTAGTCAAAAGCTTCAAAGAGGAATTGAATTCACTGCTTTAATGAAACTTTTTTCAGGTTTTCTAAGTACCGGAGACGAGCACATGACAGGTAAGTTTACACTGAGTGAAAATGTAATGTGTAGAAATGTAATTTTGAAATTTTAAAATTACTACGGTGTATTTTTTTTAAAAACATATGACTCAAAACTTACGATTTAAAAAAATATATTTCATTTATAAACAATATATATACATATATAATATATATAACATATATAATAAAATAAAATGTCTATCATAAATACTTGAGCGTACAAAATTTTTGATTTTTATTCCACCACCAAAATCAAGTTCACGATGCGGCCCAGCCGCATCCGTTTATCGAAAAGTCCGTGTAGGGCAGAGCATTTTGTATGGAAAAAATCCAAATATTGTTCGTTCCCGAAAATGTGTCCATTTATAGGAAATGTCCGCTTATTAGATCGTCCGTCTATGAGAGCTTTCACGGTATTATGTTATGTTATGTTATATTATGTTATGTTATGCTATGCTATGTTATGTTACCATTTATGTTATATTGTTAAACGCAATTCACCTCAATTCAGCATAGTTCATTTCAAGTCACCTCACCTCAGATGAACTCACCTTCACTTATCTAATTTCACCTCACATGAGCTCACTTCGCTTCAATTCACTTCTCCTTAACGCATCTCGCCTCAACTCCCCTTAATTTTTGTTGTTGAATTTCAACAGCTGGCCGAACACTATGACGTATAACTTTTTAACTAGTATTTTTTTTACAAAATAGTATAATTGTTTTATTACAGGGGACTCTGTAAATGGACCTGGCATCAAAAGTAAAATTATATCACAGAACACTTTACTTCGCACTTCATAAAAATTACTCGAACCTCTATTTCCATGAAAAATATATGAGGGGTTCAAGCAGGTTGGATGCCTGTGTAGGTCACATAGCTTCGATTGGCCACTCCGCTGTGAATCAAGTCAGATGCCTGTAATTTAATGTTATTACACGACAATTTAATCCCAATCGCCCCTCCCTAAATAAAATCCTGTATCTGCTACTGTGTGGGGGGGAGCTGCTTTGTGAGACCGAAGGTGACGATTTTTGTCATTTCTTTTGAAAATTTGAAGTGTGCACATAGCGGAAAAATGGCAAGAACATTTATTAAGAAACTAATAGAGCAGATGGCTTGCCACACATGACAAAAAACAAGGAGCTTGTCCAACATTTTTAGCTTGAAGGCATCTTGGACTCCATTTGTCTGCGTTGCATTATAAAGCTCAGCGCCCCAAACCTGCTTAAAGGCTGCTTCGACGTATGTTTCCTCGTCCAAACATACTTTTTCTTACTTTTTGATCAAAATTTTCTCCGCAAGCTCACACTTCGCCGAAAACATTTCGAAGAATACGTAGAAGTTACAAAAAGTGGATACGCGATGGTAATAAACGACAAAGTACCTTATGAATGTGTATACTTACTTTATATTTACAGTTAGTTTTACGCAAGTCATGAGTAAACATAATCGACTAGTTTTTTTTCGTGTCCGTTATTTATAATTAAATACTATTTTGTTGTTGAATTGCTGTTCTTTTTGTGCACAAATAAACACCTTACATGGCAAATGTTGTCTCTCCGTTTTTCATTTTTACTCATATTTACGTACAATTAGAACAGTTAACCACGCATGTGGCGAAATGAATTTCAACCGATCGTTTTAATTTCTGGTCCGTTTGGACCCTGCTTTAGAGGGCAAAGTTGCTAAGTTCATTTTTTATTTTAATTTTATTTGAGAGGGAAAAACTTCTGATAGCCATTTCCTTCCAGTATTTCGCAAATCTTTCAATACAACATTTAAAAGTGATTTAATGGCAGAAATGCTAAAAAATTAAAGTGTTATGGTGATGTGTAATAAGGCGCAACGGAAGTAACGTCCATGGGCACTTCTTCTTATTTGGCGCTGTAACCGCCTAAGCGATTTTGGCCGAGTTCAACAAGGCACGCCAGTCGTTTCTCCTCTGTGCCAACTGACGCCAATTGGAAATGCCCAGTGAAGCCAAGTTCTTCCCCACCTGGTCTTTCCATCTCAGTGGGGGCCGTCCTCTTTCTCTGCTACCACCAGCGAGTTCCGAGTTGAATATTTTCAGAGCTGGAGCGTCGGTGTCCATTCGAATGACATGACCAAGCCAGCGGAGCCGCGAAGGCATATTTTGTGCAGCATAAATGGTCTGCACCGTTCGCTCGATTTTCAAAAATGGGGTGTCAAGTTAAAGCGCTTGGCCTTTAGATGTGCAAACTGGTTTTATTTTTTGAAGTTAGAAACGTTCTACCGGTACAGGGTGATTTAAAATTAAATTAATTTAAATAATATTGAAAGTTTACTATGCGAGACGGCTACATGGATTTGGAAGAAATATGGGCGTTTTAACGCCATGCGGGTTCACTAGTTTCTTATATTACCTTTTCGAAAGCGCAATGAAATTCGTGGACGTTACTGCTCTTTCAAAAAATATTGACAAAATCCACTTTTAATATACATACATACAGAGTGTCCATGAAGTCAACCGCCAGGTAGAGATTTCCAAAAAATCTCGAAAACCATGACACTTTTTATAAGTTTATATCTATATATATATATTATCTGGTAGACCGTAATGTCGCCCACTGGCGGTTGAAGGGTTATCCATGACTTCCTGGACACCCCGTATATATGTACGTACTACGTAGTATACAGCTTTAAAAGTGCAGTGAAATTATTTCACTTTTGGCCTGTGTATTAATGTCATTGACATTAATTCCATTGACATGATTGCACGTCACCAATAAAACAAGTACCTTAATCCTATTCGAAACGATACATTTTTTAATATCCCTTGCTTCCTAGTTGTATCAAAACATGTGTTTTCATAAAAACTGGACTTAGCAATTTTTCACTCTAAGCTAGCGATATTTGCAGAGAGAGATAAACAAATTTTAGTTAACTTAAAAATTCATTTAATATGAGTAAAAAATCAATATTTGTTTCACTTTATTCTCGCATAGAATCCAACAACAATAATTAACTTCGAGATAGTATAAAAGCCTGTGCAAATTTCTGTACGACCTGACTTCTTTCGAATAACGTTAATCAAAATGCATAATCGTCTTATAATAATTTTAATATTTTATTTGAATGTTGCTACCACAAAAGCAGACGCGCCGGAAATTTGCATTGACTCATTGGGATGCATTGAGGGCATTTATGAACCTGGAAACGAAGTTGAAAGATATGCAGCTTTCTATGGCGTGCCATTTGCTAAGCCGCCGATTGGTGAATTAAGATTTAAAGTGAGAAAAAAGTGAAATATCTTAAGGGTTTCGAAAAATGTGTTTAATAATTTTGCCTATGCGACAGAATCCCGTACCAGTTGAGCCATGGAATGGCAAACTTCTAGCAAAAGAGCCGCATACAGAATGTACACAAAGGAATTACCTTTTAACTCCCCTTAATACAACTGGCGATGAAGACTGTCTTTATTTGAATGTGTATCGACCTGCGGTGAGTATTTTCACTTTTCAACGTTTTTCATCGCACACCAATCCAATATACATGCAAATTTATGTGTCCGATATTTTGCTGAGCAAGTGGCAAGCAATTGGCGAATTTAGATATATATATTTTTTTTTAATCACACACTTGTGAAGGCCTACAACCCCTTGGAAATTTGAAGGATTTTCAGAATATCATATAGAGAGAGGTGATTGCACTATGAAATACTTTGCGGGAATAATTCGTTGGCCCCGAGCTACTTTATGTCATCTAACCGACAGCCAACAATGTGGTGAACTATCCGTAGCTTAATGAGCTCTCTTAACTTTGTACTAACTCAGGCAAGCGCGAATGTTCATCTTATCTAAGTGCTGTCAGACAAACTATCGTAACTCAAACGCGTCTAATTTTTGTGTCTTAACTTCACAACTTCACAGCTTAACATAAGACACAAAAAATAGGCGCGTCTGAGTTACGATAGTTTGTCTCAAAGCGCTGAGATAAGATGAACATTCGTGCTTGACTGAGTTAGTACAAAGTTAAGAGAATTCATTAAGTTACGGATAGTTCACCACACGGCGTTCAATATAAGACAAATTGTTGGCTGTCGTTCAGATGACATAAAGTATCTCGGGGCCTTTGAATTTGCCAAGTGTCAACTTACTCAACTTTCTCTTAGCAACTCTTGCGGCTGCGGTAGAACCTGTTGACTGGTATACCTAATGTGACCAACTATTTCTTAGCTCAAAGAAGTACAGGTTAGGTTGGGTTAGGTTAACGCCGCGAGCCGATTACCTTAGCCTCACGAAGGTTGGACAGTCTAAAAGAAAGTGTGGAGATGATTCCACTTCATTTTCCCGTTGACAGCTAATACAAAAGGAATCTGTTGAAATTCCTAGTCTTACCGGGTGAATATCAATCGCACAATGGCCTTTCAGAACCCCCATCACTAGCTCTTGAGAGGTAACGTGGCACCTTTAAGGGGTAACGATGGATCACTCGTTACTAGCGCTACAAAAAGTATTTCAAAGTACCTTATAAAAACATTTTCTTCAGCGGATAAACGTCTTCTTCTCCTCTTTTATGCCACAATAGGAGCATCGCTTTCTGTTGTCCATTTTATTATGTATTTAATAGAATATGCGATTTCATTATAGCGAGCACGAAGTATGCATGTTAGTCTAGCGCTCGCCGACTAGGCCCAACCATGCAAGAGTGAACCGCTGGAGGACAGAAGCGTCTCTAGTTGCTCCTTATCGGGGGATAACGTTTCAAGGGTGCCTTTCCAACCCCAGGTCAGCAGCCACGCAGTTTTCCGCGATGTTACTGTGACCCGGCACCTAAATTAGAAGAAGTACTCTGATTAAAAAAAATGAAATTACATTAAGGAAGCGCCTGACGGAATTCGAACCCGGCACCTTCTGGAAGCTAACAAATAGCGGCACGATCCTATCCTCTGCACGCTCAGCCACTGCTGACTACGAATGCATGCTTTCAAATGTTTAGTTTGAACAAATCAAATACAATTATTGCTTTCAAATTACACTATCTTTTTCGAACGTTTCGAGCGTTTTCTGGATACGAACATGAATTCGGTTTCTATTCGTTTCCGGATACGAAATTTTTTTTTTTAGTTGTGCTTCTTTTGAAGACGGCGATATTTCAAAATACTGACGCGGTAAAGCGATTCTGCGGTCAGATTCGGACTCAGTCATAGTAAACTGTTTGTAGTAAAGCTATATCCTCTAATACCATGACCCCACCAAAAAGTTAACCATCTCAAGTCGAACTTAACCACATTACTAACTATTGCTGTCCACACTGCGGTTTGAGGTTTATAAAACAGTACAAATGTAGGGAACAGTGTTCGGACCTCCAGAACTCGATTCAGGACTAAATCGCTGCAAAAATCGGAGCAAAAACAAATTTTCCGTACTAGAATGAATTTTTTATTTTCGTTTCTAACATTAATTGTTTGACTTAAATATTTTCTATTCATGCAAAAATAAGAACGCGAGGCAATGTAAGGATAATATGTTACATATTTAGGTAATTTTTAGCATTTTCTATAAAATAGAACGTATATAACTCTTAATTTTTTAAAGAGCAATAGGATCTAAACCTTTTCTACTTTATATAAATTTCATTCTACGTATATTTTTTAACTGCTTTATTTAAGTTCTGCATCCGCCAATTTCTACAGCCGTACATCAAAAAATAACGAAGTTACTTTATTGACGCATTGCTATGAAAGAGTTTCTTTTTAACAGTGAGAATTGGCTAACTTTCAATTTTTTTTACTGAAACCGGTGATGAACACTCAAAAAAAGGCCCCAAGAGGGTCATAACATGAATAAAAAAAAACGGAATAGATTTGAAGTCAAGCGGAGTAGAGAAGTAGATACCACATTTTTTTTAAAAACCGGACTAAATCTAATCTGATCTTAGTTAAGTCCAAACACCAGTAGGGAACGAATTTTTTACATTTTAACGCTAATGACCCACAGATGTCGGGAAAACACAGGGTTGTATCAGACTTTCGACGTGGTTTCGAGTTGATTAGCTTTTAACCTTCTCAGTGAAATGGTTAAATGCTGTCATTTTTATATGGCGAAACAACGCTAGATCAAGTGGGTTATCGGGATAACCAACTCAACAGCCATAACTACGTGGTTAAGCTCTGGTGGGGACATGGTATAAGAATGTGGAGAAGATAGGTTATCCGCTCGCGCTAACACTGTTTCCTAGAGACGACATAGAGAGAACGATATTTTTTGGAAAAAAGTTAAATGTATGCAACAAGGCAACAAGAGGCATCACTTCCCTTTGAAAGGGTGCACCAGGCTGACACTTTGCATTGCTAAACAGACGGACTGCGTCAGACTAAGTGGGCACACGATTAGGAGATTCCAATAACTAATCAATCTCCAAAAAAATTAATTTACAGAACACTGTAGGATAAGAGAGAATATGAATAGATTGGGGAATTGGTCAAATGATCTCTGTTGTTTCTGCGACTCAACCAGGAACACAACAGCTCATATTGTCATTGAGTGCTATGCCGTCTGGGCTCAATGAGGCCACAGCTTAAATATATTTATTGCCGAAACGCTTTTGAATTATCTGGGGGACCTACGGCCGTCTTCTCAAGTCGGTTTTAAAATTTATTTAACCTCTAAACACAAATTTGGTTCCGAAAAAATCGGTTTGAAGGGCAGATAAATTTTAAAATCTATACGGATGGGAAATCGGCACTTAGTATAAGACGTGTTGTGAAGAGTATAGGTACGGTGACCATCCGTCCTTTATTTTAAAGGACAGTTCTTTATCTTAGCCCCCTATCCTTTATATTTCTGTTTTTCATAATAAAGCACGCCTTTTGTCCTTCATTTCTTAAACTGTCCTTTAAATCGGCTCTTCATTTTTCAGGGGTAAATTTTTAAACGCAGAATATGAAAAATAAAAATGTCCCCTATAAAATATAATGAAAACCTTCGCCAGTTTGTTTCGCACCCCACTTGAGGGTTTCTATTTAATCGGTACAGTGGAACTGGTACAATTAAATAATATAATTAACTGGTACATATTTGATTTAAATTACGATATGGGTAAGGTAAATACTTTTATCATACAAGTTGTATGTACGTATTCCCAAATCATTTTGAAAAAAAATGTCCCTCAGTTTACGTTGGTTAATATGGTCACCTTATAGCTTATGCAGCATGTGGTGCCGTGTTTTTAAAACCACATTTCGTCCATATCGTTAAAAAAAAAAAACTGAAACATGCATACTAAAGTAGCTGTTAAACGTGGCAAGTGCAAGTCCTTTTCAAAAGTCTGTCAAACTCAAGAATTTCCAAAAGAGATTGCAGGAGCAGTTACACCTTGCATGTAAACTGGCTTCCAAAAGCAGTTTTTATTTCTGAAATCAAATATTCGAATACTAATTTTATCTGTTTACACGGTGAATACAGACAAGTTCA